GGAAGCTCCGTGAGGCTGCTTTCTTGTACCCTGTTTGCTGGTCTCCGATAGGAGTCCAAGATGGTGGATCCACGCTGTGTTAGCTGGTAGGGGACCTCTGCATGAATCTCTCCTTGCTCTCCATTCTCTGTCAGTTTTCTCACTCCATTTGTTGCTTGGCTGAGTTCTTTATCTCTTCATTTGATGTTTTACGGTTTCAGGATTGTTGTTTTCTCTGTTTGGCTTAGTTTTTCGGATCTTTGCTGTGGAGGGACAGCATGGTGCTTCTGCCTAGAGCGCCATTTTTCTGTCCCCATCTCTTTTGATGATGCTCTCCACTCCCAGTCATTCAACAGTGTTGGAAGTGACCTATGTAAGCCTTAGTTTTTGTTTCTTGTTTTTTTAATATAAAAAAAGGACACTTTTGAGAGATTAGAGGTATCTCATCGCTTATCTTGTATGTGGCTCAGCCTCATGAGGTTAACATATTCTCACAAGTTACTGTAACATGATTGACTTTTGTCTTCAACAAGTAACTTTGAAAACCCCAGGCCCATGTCCAATGAAGGGAATCACAATTCCAATAACATGAATATTGCCTATAAACACTCATTGTTAATCTTGAAGCTCTATGCAAATGATAGATAGGAAGGTAGAGAAGCAGATTACAGAAAAAAGTCTCTAGCTGCAGATATCTAAAATCGTTCCCTACACTCCTCACAATGACCAAAAATATTTTAAAGGGCATGACTACCTCCTGCTCTCCCAACTACCACCCACTTTGGGGCTTCTTTCCACCCCTTTTTCTCTTGATATTCTTTTTAATATGGTCCACAAAGAGTATAAGTGATTGGATGGGGGGGTTAGAGTGATTCCATATGGGATCTTCCCTGAATCTTGTAACCCACACTCCAAAGGACAGCCCCAGGGCATTGAACTCACCAGAGGTGCTCCTAGACTCACAGCATTGAAGGGCAGCCATGGTGACAATACCCAAGGCTACCAAAAACATAACACAATTAAACCACCTACATTTATAAGAGTGTCACTGAATAACTAAATTTATTTCTGAATTACTTAAGAATCGTGAAAGAGAAACATTAATTCTCATGTTATAGGAATAGCAGTGAAATAAAGTACACAGGAATGGCATTTGAGTGATAACAAGACCAAAGTACAATAGCAAATGAAAAACAGTAACTTTTAACTTTAAATACAAAGGTGAAGCAATTTAATAGGAGATTTTGTTAATAAGAAAAATATATGTCCCATGTCTTTATTACATATTGTACACAATAAAATATTGCACCTTTAATTCATATAATAAATATATACAAAGTATTTTACAAATGATCTTTCTTTTAATTTAAAAACCTTTAACTATCAAGTGCGATTGATGATTGAAAACTCCTGGGCTGGGGTAGCCTCTTCACTTTCCCCCATCCATCCCCAACCACCAAACCCTCCACGTACAGTAGTGCTCATCCCAGTGTCAGTGAGGCTGAAGTGAGAACAAGAGAGACCTGGTGTTCAGAATATAGTAGATAGACTCAGTAAGCTCGTCCACACACAAATCCAAAGCCATAATGCATTGTTTGCTTATTATTGACCAGGGACTAGGTCCAGCACAACCTGCTTCAGGTAACTTTGTTGCCAAACAGGCTGCAGACAGCATGTGTACAGGCAGCTGGGACACTGAATAAGGAAGTGTGCCCACTTATTGGGGGTTGTGTGCCATCTAAAGCCATAAGTGGTAATATATGAGGGAAAGATCCCCATAACCAAATCAGCTTCAGAACTTACAATTGAATGCCAGCCCTAATTTACTTCAGCAGCATCGTTTACTCCAAACTTAACCTCCACCCTGACACTCTCTGGTACCAATCTAAACCCAACCCAACCCTGACCTAACCTGGCCCTAACCCTAACCCCTAAAGCCAACTCTACCCTTAGCCCTAATTTAACTTAGATTTTTATCTAACCCAATCCTATCTCTAATCCTAAAACTAAAGTTAACCCTAATCCTATTACCCAACTTCTAAACCAAATCCTAAGGCTAACCTCTAGTTCTAAGTGTAACTTCTAGCCTAACTCTAATTCACTTCAGATTTACTGGCAAATGAGCTCTAATTAAAACATTTATTGTAAACAATTATTTTAAACTGTCATGCTTCATATTTACTTATAATTTTCCAACATAAAAATCCTTAGGAATACTATTTGATGCATAAATTAGGTCTGATAAGGCTTTGATTTTCTGTTTGTGTGCAAGAGAATAGTGCTTAGAAAAAGTTCTATTCACAGCTCCTAAAAGAAAGCTTTGAATATTACTTAAAAATCAGTAGAAAAGGTTAACTTTCCCTCTCCTTTGATTTCCATGACACCTCATTTGGTCACAGGTATATTTCCATAGTTGTGAAAATGGCTGCCACATCTACTTGTGTTTTCTCCCTTGGGTGCAAGAGCAAGGACAAGATGCCACCTTCCCCTCCATGAATCCTTGGATCGGTCTGTGTTACACAAACCTGTCCAGAAAGATTGCCTCTTTTTCATAGGCTCAACTTAACCAAACCAGTTGCCATAGAATCAGTTCCGACTCATGGCAACCCCATGTGTGTCAGAGTAGAACTGTGCTCCATAGGGTTTTCAATGGCTGTGATCTTTCAGAAGCAGATCACCAGGACTTTCTTCCAAGGTGCCTCTAAACTTTCAGTTCATAGCTGAGAGCTTAAGTGCGCCACTTAGTGCCAACATTTTTAACAACTACTGGCTCTGGCTTCTAAAGTGTAAATGCCTTAAAAACTTGTTGAAACTCTAAAATTTGAGAGAGGAAGAAGTCATCGGTTGCTATGTTTCCCAAGTCTCCAGGATGGACTACTCTATGCTAGTCTACGAATCCCAAGAAAGAAGCAGCATGTGGTGATGCACTCCTGGTCTTGGTGTTTTCCTGGTGAGAAGGACATGATGAGGACCAAGTGCGATGGCACGCGTGCCAAGGTATGATTGCTAGTCCTGGAATAAACTGCTTAAAGGAGTTGAAATTAAAAAACCGCCTGTGGCAAAATGTCACTTGACAACATTTTAACAGTGGTGTTTTTGCATCAATCTCTGTTTGAGCGTGGAATCAGTCTTTTAAGAGATACATGTTTTTGAACCAGCCACGTGGGAAAAAGAGCTTTTAGGTTTTTCTTTTATCTTCACAGCAGCATCATGACCCTGCCAAACGTTTATCCTTCTTGACATGACTGGCAGCACTTTTGTTTGTAGAGGTCTATCGAACACAAATTAAGATGCTTTACAAACATACAGTAATGAGTGGTGTTTGTGCAGTCTCCTGCAAAAAGGAAAAAAAAAATCCATAACATGTAGCTCATTAGACCAAAAAAAAAAAACCCAAATTAGTTGCCATTGAGTTAATTCTGACTCATAGTGACCCTATGTTTGTCAGAGTAGAACTGCTCCATAAGGTTTTCAATGGCTATAATCTTTTGGAAGTTGATTGCCAGGTCATTCTTCTGAGGCACCTCTGGGTGGATTTGAACTACCAACCTTTAGGTTAGAGGCTGAGAACTTTAGAAACCTAGTTAACAAAAAATCATTTGATTTTATAAAAAGCTATGAATTGAAATCACAGGTGAGAAGAAATGAGTCAGAAGTCCATTGGCCTCGCTTGTCAGCTAGGCCAAGTGGCCTTTCCTTGCTCTCTGGGGACCTCACAGTCCTACTGGTCCATGCTGCCCCTCTCAGTGCTTAGAGTAGCAGTGCTTAGCTTTTGGGGGGTCCTTGACCTCTTGGAAAACTTATGAAAGCTGTGGCTCTGCTTGCTAGAAATATACACATACATACTAAATTTTACATATAATTTCAGGACATTTGCAAATCTACACAAGCCCATTCATGGGACCCCTGACTTAGAGGATGAGGCTACAGGCACAAGGGAAGTCTGAGAAGAGGCTTCCAGTGCTTGTTAGCAAGGCAACGATCAGTATCACTGACAGCCTACTAGTTCAACTATTTTTGCCCCGAAGAACACTGAGTTGCGTCCACATCAAAGTAGCTCATCTCCTAATGTCCCAAGCTACCACCCCCATTCTGAGTGGCCCTCAGGCATGACATGGAGGAGGGAGGCACCATGGAGGAGGGTGTGGTTTGGACAAAGCGTCTGGGGTAGTGGTGATACCTGAGAGAGGTACGTACTATCACAGGAAGGCCCAAGACAGCGCCGCCAGGAAGTTGGCTTCTTTTGCTGCCCACAGTGTCTCTCAGCCACAGGTTTACAGCTTGTTTTGTGCACACAGTCCACCTTCCGAGCCTGGAAGCCCATGCCACAGGCTGCTGTACAGGGCCTCCAGGGGCCTGTGCGCCAACACACATCACAGGCCCCTGATGAGCAGTTCCTCCTAAAGGTGGGGGGTCTGAAATGAAACAAGCAGAAAACAGGTGAGGCAGGATGTTACCTCTTGCTAGGATCAAGCCTTTTACTCTACTATGTATTTAATGCACTAAAAGGTTTCACAATTGTGCCCCTATTCATTAGGAAACGGATTCGCACTGTCCATGGCTGGCTAAGCAAAGTAGTGATGCAATCATGATCATAATACAGAGAACTAGATTACTTCGGAGTATAGACTATTTTCAAGCCATTAAGAATGACCCTACACTCCACTCAAGTTAGCCCCAGATGTACTAGGAAGGTTCTGGAAATTGTCACAGATAGGGGAAGACCTCATTTAAGAAATGAAAGAAATCTTAAGATTTAATTTAAGAAAATTTATTTAAGGCTTTTAATTAAGGCACATGGATATGAGAGAGTAGAGATGGGCAAAATACAGCCTCAGTGCCAAAAAAAAGTTAATCTATGGTGGGAATCAACAAGTGACCAAATTACCACCAAGAGAAGAGCCAGCGGTAAGAACTCACACTCTTCTCACACATGGGAAAAAATCAGTAGGAGAATGTGGCTGAATCATTGCAAACACTTCCTTGCCACTGGAAAAGATTCTTCTCCCGCACTGATGGTGGATGGATGTAGGGTGTCTCCGTCTTAGACTCTTCAGCTAAGACAGAGATCAACCCCTCCATCTCGATGCCACAGCATCTAGAATTTACTGGAAAATGACAAGATTCCTCACTACCTGGGGCTGAGATTCCCTGCTTAGATGTGCTGCAGACGAGAAGGGACGACAAGCAAACCCTGAGTTTCCACTGACTTCCAACAGCAAGTCAGGGCAGACACATCAAAAGGTATGCTATCCAGATAAGCTAGAGCAGATCAATTTAGACTAGGAAGGGAAGGATGACCCATAATAAACCATTTCAATTGTGTTACTACCCCTGAAGTTTTCTAAGCATTTGAGATATATTCTGGTATGGGTATGCATTTCTATGTGGGCAATCTTGTCTGCTAAGAGAAGCTCTTTTAGGCTTGCATTTAGGTCACACCATGACTTGTAGTTGGGAGCTATCAAAAATCATCTGGGAAAGGGGAGCTATCTCTGGTTTCCTCAGCCTTTAAAACAGAACAGAAAGTTAATGTCCTCTGACTTTTGAAAAGATATTTACCCTGCAGGGTAGAACTACCTTATTGGACCTGTTAGGGGTATCTGCCCTTGCTCCCTAGGTGAGGACTTCTGGAAGATATATTTGTACTACATGAGGATGACGTTCTGGAAGAGTACCTTCATTTGATCTAGTTCAATAATTGTCTTTCTCCCAGGAATCTGGAGGTTGCTGGAACAAGACATGTAAACCTGAAGGCTGGAGTGGTGGTGGCCATATTCTGCCACATAGGCAAGAGAGGTAGAGAAAACCAGTTTGCGGAAATAACAGAGAATGAGGCAGAAACCTTAGTCCTGGGAATTTTTTTTTCTATTATTTCTTTTTTAAAATTTCCACCCTTCTATTTCTCTTTCATATCTCTTTTCCAAAACCCAATTTAATCAGCTATTGTTGTTGTTGTTATTAGGTGCCGTTGAGTGGATTTCAACTCATAGCGACTCCATGTGACAGAGTATTACTGCCCCTTGGGTTTTCTACACTGTAATCTGTATAGGAGCAGATTACCAGGTCTTTCTACCGCAGAGCCACTGGGTGAGTTTGAACCACCAACCTTTCAGTTAGCAACTCAGGGCTTAACCATTGCACCACCAGGGCTCCTAATCAGCTATTATATCTCCCAAAAAAATCTCTCCATGTCTTTTTATTTTCTCTATCATATTTTCTACATCTTAATTTTGCACCCTTTGCATGAGAGTGTACAGCATATCCAAGGAACCAAAAGAAGGCCACTATAGTTGGAATATGAACAGTGAAAGAGGTAAGGTCTTGGATGAAGCTATGGAGGGAGATAAGACTTTGCCATGCAGTATTTTATAGGTCACATTAAGAATTTTGGTCAATTTCTTCCTAAGAGCAAAGGAAGCTTCTAATGTGATTTAGTCTAGCAGGGGAATGGGTTGTGGTGGTGGTATGATCAGAATGGCATTTTGGAAAAGATCACTCTGGCTGCAGTGTGGAGATTGGATTGGAGAGGAGCATGAATGGAGGGAGACCAGGTAGATGACTACGGGAGTGGACCAGGTAAGATAAGATGGTGGCCTCGGTAATGGTGCTGGAGTTGGAAAACAGTGGTTGGGTTCAAGAAAAAAATACAAACAGCTAAAGCATATAAAAAGTAATCTGAGAAATACAAAATAAAATTAGATATAATTTTTCATCCACCAGATTAGCAAAATTTTTTAGATCGAAAACCTATAGAATGTTGATGACAAAAGTGGGTGGGGGGTCTCTCCTACACTGTTGGTATAGACATTTTGATGGTAATTTGGTAGTATCAAAATGAGCATGCTTGTCAATTCAATTTACATCTAAGAATTTACCCTGTAATTTATCGCTGTGTGCACAAAGATATGTATTCCAGGATGTTTACTGCAGCATTTGTTTGTGATGGCAAAAAATCTGAAGGAATCAAATGTCCATCAGCATGAGAATGATGTAATATTAAATATAACAATTAAAAAGAATAAAATGAATCTTTATGTACTAAGAAAAAGTCTATAACACTGTTAAATAGAAAAAATAAGTTTCAGAAAAATATGTATGGTGTGTTAAAAAATTTCAATCTATGTATGTGTTTGTGTGTGTAAATATATCTTTATAAATGCAAAAAAATATCTGGGATGCTGCACTTCAATTTGTGTGTGGTCTCTATTTTCTCAGTAACAGGAAACTAGGTTTTCCGTTGAGCTTGAGGGCAGCTGTTTCAAATATTTCCCGTTTGAAGAGAATGAATCTGGCTTGAAATCGTGTTGTGGGGAATAAGAGATGCGGCTGACTCTACATTGTAAACCTTTCTGAAGGCTCAAAATGGTAACCAAGCCAACTGTCAAGATCATACCATTTTTCTTCAGCAAGACTCAGGATGGGAATGAGGAAGAAACAACCACTTACTGAGCGTCGTCTATGACCCAGGCTGCTTAGGAGCTTCACACTAAGCTAACTAAAAACTTCTTAACCATAAATCCAAATGGATGTTAATAACCCATTTTGTAGACAACTAAGCTTAGAGAGACCAGGAAGCCTAAGGTCATACAATAAGAAAGTGACAGAACTGCAAAGTCCCTGGTTAGTATGCCCTGGAGGCTCTGCTGGCAGGAACACCGTCCTCAGGGATATTGGAGCCACAAGATGGAAGGAGTCTGGTCTCTAAATGACTTCATGGAACAAAGCTCTTCCACCCCTAAAGCATCTACTAGCTCGGACTTTATGCAAGAGAATAATAAACTCCCTTCTTATGTAAACCCCTTAATAAGATAAAAGTTTTATTTTCTGTTAAATTACTGTACCAATATCCTAATCAAAAGTTTATAAACAAAGTTATAAAGTAGTTTATCCAAAACATTAGGAAGATTTAATGTGTAAACTTAAACATATGAAAAGCAACAATTAAATATAGTAAGCATATTAAAAGCAACAAGAAATTTCATTAGGCTTAGCCAACTTTACATATAGAAGGAAAAGCAACTGTCTACTCTCAGTACCACCCTTTGTTTTCCCTTTAGGATTGTCTCTTTCCATATGTTTATATCCAAATAATTTGTAATCACAAATAGTACATATTACTTAATACTTTAGATGTATATTACTGAGGGTGACACCATAAGAAATCACAATTTAATTGGGTTTGTTAGTTATAAGAGGTGGTAGAAACTTGAAATAATTCATTTTTGCAGGCAGTTGTCGTCACTGATGGAGACAGGAGAGACTGTGTGGCGCCCCAGGGCAGGCCAGTACCTCCTTCTGTCATCACACTGGGAATCTGGTGTTGCAGAGCCATTGTGCTGTTGACAAAGTGGGTGACGCTGCTGCTGCATCCTCACAGCACGACGCATGCAGTGTCCAGGACACTGGAACAAAAACACAACGCAGTATCAAACCTGGGCAGTTACGCAGGCTGTGTGCACCTGGATCACGCACTGAGGCAGGACAGCCAAAGACCAGTCACAGAGGAACCAGCTGTTCCCCAGGGGAAGACAGAGAGGATCGGAGTACAGCCCGGGGTATCAGACGCCTCTCCCTCAGAGCCAGGAAGAACTTGAATTTCTCCTTTCCCCTTTCCTCCTTTGGAACTTAGACTGCCTCTGTGGAAAACGGAGAAGGGCAGGACAAATCTTGAGCTGACAGAGCTTAAGTCTGGAAATAAGAGTTTTTGGGTGGTGCAAGTGGTTAACACGTTTAGCTGCTAACCAAAAGGTTGGAAGTTCAAGTCCACCCAGAGGTGCCTTGGAAGAAAGACCTGGTGATCTACTTTTGAAAACTCAACCATTGAAAACTTTATGAAGCACAGTTCTACTCTGACATACATGGTGTCACCATGAGTTGGAATCGACTCGGTGGCAACTAGTTACTGGTTAAGTCCAGAAATGACTACACTTAAAACCAGAAGTGTCCAAAAACTCTGGTTTTTCTGCTGCGAGCAAAAATGGTGGCTTGAATGCTAAGAGGAGTTCAATTACAGAAAAAAAGAAAAAAGTTGGTGAGTAGTTCTAAAATGTTTAAGTAGTCATTGTCTTAGTTATCTAGTGCTGTTATAACAGAAATACCACAAGTGGGTGGCTTTAACAAGCAGAAATTTATTTTCTCACAGTTTAGGAGGCTAGAAGTCCAAATTCAGAGCTCCAGCTCTAGGCGAAGGTTTTCTCTCTCTCGGCTCTGGGGAAAGGTCCTTGTCTCTTCATCTTATTTACTGGCTCCTTGGAGATCTCCATGTGGCTTAGCATCAATCTTCCCCCATCTCTGCTTCTTTCCCTTGCTTGTTTAATCTCTTTTATATCTCAAAAGAGATTGACTTAAGACACGCCCTATACTAATCCTGTCTCATTAACATAACAAAGACAATTCATTCCCAAATGGGATTATAACCACAGGCACAGAGGTTAGGATTTACAACACATATTTTTGGGGCACACAATTCAATCCATAACAGTTATTTAATACTTATTAATTTTTCTTATAATTTGTTTTTAATTTTATACTTGAAAAAATCTTTTCCATCATGATGGTTTCAAGGTTCATTCATGTTGTAAGAAGTATCACTACTTCATTCCTCTTTTATGGCCAAAGAATATTCCATTGTATGGATATACCACATTTTATTTATCTATTTATCAGTTGATGGGCATTTGAGTTGTTTCCACTTTTTGGCTATTATGATAAAACTTGTATGAATAGTGTACAAATTTTTGTGTGGACATATGTTTTCATTTCTCTTGGGTATATACCTGGGAGTAGAATTGCTTGGTCATGCAGTAACTCTATGCTTAACTTTTTGAAGAAATGTCAGTTTTTGAAAGAGGCTGTACCATTATACATCCCCACCAGCAGTGTACGAGTGTTACAAATTCTCCACATCCTTGCCAACATTTGTTATTATCTGTCTTTTTAATTATAGTCACGCCAGTGAGCAAATAATCCGAGAAGCTGGACTATCTGAAGAAGAATGCGGCATCAGGATTGGAGAAAGAGTCACTGACAACCTGAGATACGCAGCTGACACAACCTTGCTTGCTGAAAGTGAAGAGGACTTGAAGCACTTACTGAGAAAGATCAAAGACTACAGCCTTCAGTGTGGATGACACCTCAACATAAAGAAAACAAAAATCCCCACCAAAAAAAAAACCCATTGCTGTCGAGTCCATTCCGACTCATAGCAACCCTAAAGAACAGAGTAGAACTGCCCCATAGGGTTTCCAAGGGGCGCCTGGTGGATTCCAACTGCTGACCTTTTGGTTAGCAGCCATAGCTTTTAACCACTACGCCACCAGGGTTTCTGAAAAATCCTCACAGCTGGACCCATAAGCAACATTATGATAAACTGAGAAAAGATTGAAGTTGTCAAGGATTTCATTTCACTTGGATCCACAACAAGGCCCATGGAAGCAGCAGTCAAGAAATCAAATGATGTATTGCATTGGGAAAATCTGCTATAAAAGACCTCTTTAAAGTGTTAAAAAGTAAAGATGTGGGGGGGAAATACTAAATAGGCAATAGATAAGTGGTATCTTGGGTGAAGGGTGAGACTACACAATACAGGGGAAACTAACACAACCTGTACAAGGAAAGGTCATGGAGGCCCCATGGACACATCCAAACTCCCCGAGGGACTGAGTTGCTAGACGGAGGGCTCTGGGGACCATGGTCTTGGGGAACATCTAGCTCAATTGGCATGACAC